TCAGGTTCCTAGAAGGTGTAACAACTCGTCAGTGTTGCTTCGTTCACACTATTCTTACACGACTCGATAAATAACAATTCATGACATTCTAAGATTATTTGTCATATAAATTTTCCTAAAATTAAAGAAGAGAAAGATAAAAATTTTTATGTTGTCAAAATTATGATTATAAATTATTTTGAAGTATAAAATGTAGATGAAATTGAAAAAAGTAAGAATCACATTAAACGGCGAAAAGAAAAAAGCATATACGGTTACATTATCATTTGCTCCAGAAATTTATTTGAAATGTGATGAATTTCAAAATCGTGAGAGTAAAGATATGATATAAATTAATTATACTGATGTGAAATGAATTAAATTGAAATTGTATGTTTATTATATCGTGTTACAGCTAAGAGCTTTTTGTACTAAATACTTCTGATTATATGAACTTTATTTTAAGATTAGAAATTACGAGAATCAAGAAAAGTGAAGTGGCCTCGATTTTTTATCGAAATTTTGCAAATAAAGCACTAAAATGTATCCGTCAGCTGTGAAGTATTTTGTAAGACGCTCGTTTCGTCTCAGAGCTGACGTACGTCAATATTTTATTTTAAACTTATTTTGAACTGCTTCTTTAACTTGTCTTTATGCGAATAAATTTGCATGAATTTATTCTTGAGGCGTGCAATGTAAAGAGAAAAAAGGAAGATAGTCGTGAAAGTTTCGCACAGTCGAGCAGAACGACTCCATCAGAACACGAATAGCGTTAGTTAATTGTCTCGTGGCTTCTCAGATTTTGTTATTCTTATCTCGTGATATTTCCGACATATCCTTAAAATCTATTTTTACATTTAATTGTATTAATTAATAAGGATGCCTTGAGTTCTCACGACTGCACTTTATATTGGACAAGTACATTATATTAATATATTTTAATTACTCCCACAATAAATAGCAGTACTTTCCTATTTACGACATATTGTCTCCCTCGACTTTATACACTGATTATAAAAAATTATAGATCGCCGGATTATTTAATTTTAAAATTGCTTATCCTGCAGTATAATTCTGCTTTTTTAAACAATCATATTAGGTATTAAGTATTGCATTTGAATTAAATCCGTTATATGAATTATCCGTTAAATTATGCTTTGTTTTAATGAGCAACTTTATTTTTTAATCATTAAACCTTCTGTAAAATTATAAAACAAAAATTTATAAATTTTTTACAATAAGATTTACTATAAGATGAATATATCGACAACTAAAAAATATTGCATTTGTAATAAATCAATATAGTGACTGCGATTAGCAATTAGCACTTAATTATAATATATATTTGAACTCTTTTTTTAAATAGTGAGGGTATTTGGTTCATATAGATGGTTCATATGATTTTACGTTGAACACTCAATAATTGTAATTAAATTATATTCGTTTGATGTTTGATATTTTCCACTTGTAATCAGTTCAGTAAATGCAGACGAATACTTCTAAATTTCGTCTTGACAACGTCAACGAGATTCACAAGCTCGTATAATCAGCGTTTCTCTCTCAGTTATGTATTCACTAAGGAGATTCGCTACCGATAGAAACTTGGAGAGACGAACGACAACAGGGAATTTGTGATTTACTCGATGGGCTTCGGGCAAACAAAGTGATCCTACAGGCACATAGAGGAAAACGCCCCTACGGGACGACGTCGCAACGAGAATGTCTATGAAAATACATTCGGAGAAAAGGGAAGCCCGATCTGATATAATGCAAGGACGACGTTTACATGCTACTTGAACTGTTATGTCGACATATACTGCTCGACTACTGCTTACTGAAGATAAAAAAATCGTGTTTTCATATAAAGTTTTATTTGTCATATTTATTGCAATTCACTAGGAGAAAAATCAAATTATGTGTGAAAATGTTATTTAAAAAATACTATTTTTATATATTTTTAATTTAATTTTATTATTTGAATTGCGCCTCAGATATTTTAAAATATTGACCTATTGAATGTTAAAATATAATTTTCTATTTTTTCATTTTTTAACGATACAGGAAAATTATTTCGTACAGCGAATTGCTAAATCGATATTGAAAAATTTGATTCAATTACCATTCGCGTATGAAAATTTACAAAAAGATAATTTTATTAATTATATGTATTTTCGTCAACACATTTTTTACTTTAATAGTTCCATTTATTGAATCATTTACTGTTATTTACATAAGCATGATGTAAATTTTTATAGTAATTGCGAAAAATTTTTATTTTTATGTTAATTATAAAATATTAAATATCTATTTCACATTTTATTTATGCGATGGATTATATTTTTAAAATATTTATTTTCTTGAAGTATTAGGAAATAAAGTATAATGAATATAGGTACTTTAATTTTACTATCATAATTCTAAAATCAGTATCAGCTTTTGCTTCGAAAACAGGAAGTAATTACATCTACTGAAACAATTAATCAGATAAATGTTCAGTAATGAAAGATTAATTTATAGCTCTGTAATTTCCCTCGATTAACACAGCATTTAATTAACACACAAAGCATATACCGAGGTAACATATCCTTCCGGTAAACTGCTGTGTAAAGGACGAAGATCACGTTCGAAACTGATACCGGATGTATTGCGCAATTGGCCGCATGTGCGTGTGGTTTCCCCAGCATGCGGTATGCTCCAAAACAGAGCGTAGTGCAATGTAAGACGGCGGCTGCTGACATCTCACCATGTTTAACGGGATGCTTCGCCGACGTTACTATTTTAAAGCTGAGATTTTTAGAAATATAGGTCAACAACATATTCACGCCGTGTCGCCTTTTCAAAGTGATGCGCGGTGTCGCGATTTCATGAACAGTGCATAGTACGACGCGAAGATTTTCTTCCATTCTTTATTTACTATAAAGCATGTCAACTTACTTGGGATTTACATTTTGTCGCAACGAACATTTAAATACGTTTATGCATAGACAACGTTTTTTGTATGTATTTTTGTTTTATTTTGATGTAGACAGTTTAGAATATACATATTTAGAAGAAAATGAAATCGTAATTGTGACCCAATCGTATTCTAAATAATTAAATTTCATTTCAAATTATTTAGTTATTGCATTACATCAGAATGTGTGTTACAGAATTAACTAATTGGCGAGAATTGCTTTATCTATTATGAGTTAAATATCATTATAACCAATTTTTCTTTAAATTTTAGGAATGATTATTAATCTTGGTTGTCGTAATTGACAGTTGAGAGTAATTTCTCGACTGTCAAATTAAATAAAACTAAAAATTTCTTTCGTTTTATTAAATTTGACAGTTGAGCGAAATTGACAACCAAGATGTGTTCACTAATAATCATTTTTGAAATTAAAAAAAAATTTATTATAATCTTTTGTTAACTTATGATAAATAAAATTAATATAATTTTTGCTAATTAGTAAGATGTAACATTCATTCGACTGTGATATAATAAATAAATAATTTGAAATGTGATTTAATTAAATTATTTAAAATAATGATTGAGTCACAATAAATGATTTCATTTTTTTCTTACAAATATATATGTGTATTTACAAATATTGAAATAATTATTACATGTATTATACGAACTATAAATCCATTTTCTTTACAAACCAAATTGCTTTATACCAATAAACGAGTAACTAGTTGATCTTTAACTAACACTGTATCAGAAATATCAGAAAAAATAGATTTGGTTCTGGTATCTAGAACATCTATTGTTTTCCTATATTACTCTCACTCTCATTTTACGTAAATGTATTTTACGTACGTGTCCCTAGCGTACTATTATGCCCCGCGGCAATGTGCCGCGTTGGACCTGACGGATCTTAATCTCATAAAAGAAGGAAGCGACCTAAAAAAAGAACGCACCGGAAGAAAGTCGTCATTTTCATTGGGGTTACTTACCTCTGACAATTTATCGTCGGTTGATTCGGCTCGTTCAGCTATTAGGAAAAGACGCGTGATCACGCGGGATTTATGTTGGCCGCTGTGATCGTCCGGCTGTTACATTTTTTTTACGAGTCTTCGTAGCGACGGTAGATTTAACAAGATCGACAGCGGATTGTAACCCAAGAAATTCGAAGTCTATAAAGAATTTGATTTGATCAAAATCAAGTCGTGAACTTCCACTAGTACAGAGCTTGTCGATCATGCGATTCTTCTTTTTTCATGTGCGACACGCGTCGCAACTTCAAAACCGGGGATAAGCCAACTTGTTGTTTCTGTGAACTCAGCATTTTTCATTACTATGATTTTTATTTGATAAGAGCGTGTAAATAATCGAATGACAAATTTCCAATAACACGAGATTAGAAAAGGATAGGGTTAATTAAACAATTGGTCCACTTCTCTTGTACCTACATAATAAAAAATGTATATACTATATATATTTATTTCTTTAAATTATATCTATATAATTGTGATTTTTAAAAAGGTATAAGCGAGGGGTTTACGTTTGGCGAGAATCACCTGATTCTAAACCAAGCGATTATCATCTCTTGCTTACAGGACGTACGTGGACCAACTGATCTACAGATAAATTTAGCAGATAAGTCGTATATTAGTCTGGATTGTTGACCCGTAATATTTTTACATGTGAATTGAAAACTCTTTTGAAAGCTTTGATCTTTCAATGAAAGAAATTGTTTACCAGAAGAAATCCATGCATTGAACGATTAAAATGAAGAGGGACATTCATTGTTTTGACAAACTTTTTTAACTGTTACTTTTTCTATTAAAAAATTTGAAGGCCTATATAAACTCCTCCATTTGTCGATACAAATTTCGCGCGTGCTTGCAATAAAAGTCGTCATGCAGTTTGCGTTTTGCCGACTTTATTCCACCGCGGATGCGGCTCTTAAATGGACGGTGGTTACGCGAAAACCGGCTAACGATCAGCGCGGTAATAATTTCCATGGCGCGATTACCTCCGCGGCACGCAAAACAGACATGTTTTTCAACGCATCTTGCTATCTATGTTGCAGCTCGATGACACGGCGCTCCAGTTATACAAGGGCGGCGATTATGGTGCTTACCTGGACCTTGAGGCATCTATCAATGAGCAACAGGAAGAATTTGAGGGCTTTCATGAAGGTGAAAGGTGAGTCGCCAATAATTTATATTATTAGGTGTTGGAATTAATTCGTAGCGTTTTACAAGTGATGGGAAGTACTTTCATTAATGTATTTTTTAATGCTCATGTGAAATAAATAACATTCTTTCATTAAAAAACGCTACGAATTAATTCCAACACCTAATATATTTACTTAATAATCTTAATATTTATTTTATATTTTTAATTATTATTAGTGCAAAAATTGCTGACAAATGACTTCATTACTATATGTATATAACATATGTATGTAACATAAAAAGAAGTAATTCGCAATTTGCGTTCATATTTTTGAAATATAAGTTTTTCTTTCTAGAAATTTTATGATTTATTTCGAAGTATTTTAGATTTGTGTTATATAGATGCTTATTTTTTATTTTCCAACTAGAAAGAGAAGTTTCTCGTAATATACTTCAACTGCGCGTAATGATAGAGGCCATTTGTGCCCGCTTAATTGCACCTTGGGATAGTTGTTTTCTTGCATGCCACCTGAAGTTGGTCCTGTCGGGATAGATTCTGCGTCTTTACGAGCCCCTCGCGGTTGGACCCCGGATAATCACATAGTGGACAGCAGTAGAGTCATTGTGGACAACAGTAGAACGTAGAGTCACCGGAATAATGAAGGATATTTAGATGAGGAGAAGATAGTATGCGTCTTCTCAGCACAATCGCAGCAAAGAGATTTGCGATACATCTTAAAAGAAAAGTTAATGGCACTTTGATTAGTCTGTCTCTTGTTAAATGAAAGCCCATCTCAAAGTAATGTGGCAAATACATTGGAAAAAGTTATGCAAAAGGTTTTTACCTCGGTTTCTACAGAGTCGAATAATTAGCACGCTTAATTTAATCTCCGAGTGAATATTGAACAGAAGTAATTTTCTTCTAAACAATACGTTCAATGTAAGGAATAGTTCGCAGATAGAATTTAAACGCAAATCGTCGTGATAAAATAAAAGAATAGCTTGCGTTGAACACGAGTCATTTTGCGAATGATGTTTAAAGTGTTTTCGCTTGCGGAGGAAAAGTTTTTAATTAAAATACAGTAATGGAATGTAATTTATTTGACTTATATTGTACACATACGCACACACACACACACACTCACACATATATACATAGTCATGATATAAATTTAAAAGAAAGTTATATTCTTTACCTTGCGTTAAATATTGTGGTTTAAATGACATACTTTAAAAGTTAACTGGCAATTACATATAATACAAGATTGATCACAATTAAATTGATTGTTTAACGATTTCAATTCTAGAAACAAAATTTTAAAATCAGAATTTGTTTCTAAATCAACATTTTAACAAAATGGCTTAATTGCTTTTATCTATTCTTGATAATATAAGCAATTAAAATCTTTAAACAAGTATTCATTGAAAGAAAAGAAATGGTCGTAATTACTATATAACATACATATTATACAGTAGTAACTAACTCTTATTAACATTATAATAGTACCTAATAAAAAAAACAAAAAACTAATCATAATTATATTTTATCATGAAATTATAGCCACAAATATCAAATACTTTCAGTATGCACTTTCGAAGCATCATTTTAAACTTTTACAGTATTCTGTTTGTGTATATTTAGTGGCTAGATATTCACACACGGTGAAATGTACGAGAAACCAGGCGCTGGTTTCCGTCGTTGAGAATGCACGGCGGCTGCAGCAGTATATTTGCGGTTTGCGTATCGAATTCACGTTAATGCCGTGAAGGCTAACCGTGCTCGTTGTGTATTAATGCAGGTAAACTCCCTAGGGAGGGCGAGGCATGTACGATGTTAAATTTAGTTCTCCTTTGAGAGCTTCGGGATCCGTGTCTTTTCAGTGACTTTTCATTCTTCTTAAATCTACGCAATTGCTCACTCACATCAGATATGTGATAGCGAACTATCGCATCAAAGAACGTGAAAGCACGCTATTTTTATATTCACCACCTTTTCTTCTCACAGAGAGATACCTTGCGATTCATTGAAAATTTACTTATCAATTCTATTCTGATTTCGAAAATAAAAAAAATAAGATAAAAGAGCTGAATAATTATACTAATGCAATTATTTTGAGAGGATTCATATATTATTTTCTATGTTATCTGATCACATTTTTCATTTTTATATGGATTCTTCGCATACATTCATTTCTAACGTTCTCTAATTTTAACGTTAGATGGAAAAGATTTTTATACATTATTATAATAATAAATCTTTTTTTTTATAACTATTAATTTTAAACAATAATTTAAATTTTAAAATGTTTTAAATTTTATCTATAATTAATTTTGACATAAGAAAGTGATTTGGGACAAGAGAATTTTGAAAGATTGTTTTATACTATATACGTAACATATATTATATAATTACGTATTATGCATTTTTAATAAAAAGTTTTATTACATTATTGAGTATTCAGTATTTGGGATTTAGAATGAATTTACATAAAAATCAATTGATTTTTCTTGCTGCGTGGAGCGTTATATGTATGTGATGTGGTCGCAGTCTTCATTTTCGCGGCGACTGGTCAAGTCTGAAATGGTCTCGTACATTGGAAACAAGATCACTTCCAGTCCATTAATCGGCACCACTATGTCAGTATACGCTCGATGCACCGCCTTCAATCGGATTGCATTTCGTCAGTCGTCGCGCGTTCAAAGGCACGTTCGCACGAAACGTCGAATAAACGTGCGGCAACCGAATGAGAGGAAAGGTGAGGGAGCAGAATTGGAATCGCTCGGACACGATTTTGGGTGACGAAGGCTGAGGGGAGGGATGGGAGTTAAATAAATGTTTGCCCGCAGAGATATGCGTTCCAATATTTGAAACTCCGGAATTTCCGCGAACCGCAAAATGACATCATACGTTTACCGCACTCTCGTCCCTTTCTCCGCGTGTCCGTCTCACGTGTGGTTCGATTTTTCGTTCCCTCTGGTACATACACATATATCCCTAAGTCCATATAAGTTCCAGACACGTTTGTGTGCAGTGGAACTAAACGAAAACTGGCTTTTCCTGCTATAAACGTAATGTTGGCTATATCGAAGAAATTCATTGTAGTTGACAGTCGGATATAATAGATACAATTCAGAACACTAGTTCATAATATCATTTAAAATTACTTATCACATGCCATGGAATAAAATGGTAATAACAATTATGAGTAGAGACAATTGCGCTGATCTGACAGTCGCATTAAAAAATAATGTTTCAATCGAAAGAAATATAGTATTTCTCATTTTGGTCGAATTTATGTAACTTGCGTATACAGAAAAAGAGGTAGATAGGAGGAAGGTAGCCAGTTTTTGCGTGGGTAACGAATCGTTTATCTTTGTGGTAATACTTGGCAACTGTTCGCCCACGCGTATAAGATACCGCATGCGTATTCACGATATTTCTCACGCAGGCTGTTGCGTCTTGCATACTAGCGAAATTAATTTGCGTAGCTGCGTCCTAGGCGGTCATCCGTGTCTCGCACATAAAGAGGCGGAGAGAGTTTCGTGCGATAACAAATTGAAAAGGCCTCCTGAAGGAAGATACAAGTGACGTTTTTGAATGTTATAAATTGATGAAATCTCTTATATGACATAATATTTAATTAGCCATGTTAATTAATTAACAATTTTCTGTAAATTAAAATTAAGATGAGTACTTTATATCCATTATATTAATATATATTTTTTACAATTATATAGTATTAATCTTCTTTTTCAATTTTTGAGAATATGTGTCAGAGAATATTTTTTTGTATCATTAGTTTCTAAGAATATTAAAAAATATTTAAAAAATACTAAAAATATTTGTTATCTACTTCTATCTACATAGATCTCATTTACTTAAAAATTTAGTACATTTTATTTCTATTTAAGATAAAACAAGGATGTGTTTATCTTTGTTTTTATGGAGAACGAAATTTAACCTATTTTTCTATGGAAATTAATCATTTACGGAGAAAGTAGATGGTACTATTGAAATGTCGAAATTTATCTCCATTCTGTGCACGGCGTATTTACTGAAAGGTGGTCCCAATGGACTTTACCTAATAAACTTAGTGTCATCACATTTCCCTTACGCTTCCTCTCATCTTCTCTGTCTCTCGCTCTCTCTTCTTTCGATCTTTCTTTTTTCTCTTCCTCTCTCTCTCTCTCTCTCTCTCTCTCTCTCTCTCTCTCTTTCTCTCTATGTTTATTTCTCTAGCCTGCCATAGAATCTTATGTAACCTGTTTGAATACACGTGGATACCGGTATATCAGGTGTATATAATTATAATGGGAGATATACATGTATCTCCCATTCTGCGAATATAACAGCTGAGGAAGGAGATGTTGGATGAGAGAAGTGCTAGATGATGGAGCGGAGAGTGTGGATAACAAAGAGAGAGAGAGAGAGAGAGAGAGAGAGAGAGAGAGAGAAAGAGAGGAATATTTTCCCAAGAGTTCAATAACCAGGTATATTAAATCATTAAACGTTCAGTATAGACGTCGCGATGAGTAATCAGCTTCTTACGTATCGGACTCCAAGATCTTCAAGGCATACACACGCACGCACGCACGCACGTACGCACACACGCACACACACATTCGAGATATAACACCTTTTTTTGTTGAATGTTAGTATACATAATAAACCCGCATGCAAAATTTAACTTTTTCCTGTTCACCGACGTCGTCATTAAAATTTCAAATAATTTTTAATATTATTAATCATCAATACACACAACTCAGTCCGTATTTACTCACATCCGGGTATTTGTAACTCAACGTTTTCTTTTGCTTGTATCTCAGATTGTGCACCGATTTTAACAAATTTTTTTTTAATCTATCGTTTGAAGACTGAAAAAAAAGAATTTTTGAGTTAGAAAATCTAAAATGTCATAGCGTTTTCTTTTGCTTGTATCTCAGATTGTGCATCAATTTTAACAAATTTTTTTTTTAATCTATCGTTTGAAAACTGAAAAAAAAAATTTTTGAGTTAGAAAGTTTAAA